CGTAGGCCTCAGGCCGCCACTCACAGTTGTTTCCTGGCTTGTGGGTGTGCTGTTGCCGCGGCCCTCGGGTAGGAAGCCGGCCACCCCTGCACGCTGGTTGCATGTCCTACGCGGCCAGGATCCCTGGCTCATGCTCGAGAAGGACTGTGGCATGATGAGACCGTCAAGGATTGCTGCTCGTGCTCCCCCTTCACACCACGCTGTCCACATACCTGCGCTCATCACGCAGCTTGCTCCCCCGCTCCACACCAGCAAGCAGACAGTGAGAAGAGAAGGGAGAAAATCACCCTCCAGCGGGGACGGCCATGCCGCAGTCCCTTTCTCCCCTGTTCTCCCAGAGTTTGGGCACGCATGCCCAGCATGATTTTCCAGCCACAGGTCTAGGACTGGGACCATGCTTGGCCAGCACCCAAACCGTCATGCCTCCCGCTGGCCCCACGTGTCTTCTCCAAGCATGGGGCCTCCTGGTGCTGCCGTCCTGCCTCCGCCCCGACTCCCGGGGGTCAGAGGCTTCAGGCTGAACCGGAATCGAACCCGGGCCTCTTATGTGGCCTCAGCCTGTGTTCACATCAGCTGCTGCCACGCCGGGTGTGGGACTTGGGGTTGGCTGATTTTTTGTTTCTGTGCATTGCTGCCCCAAGTCCTCACTTGCAGTGTTTGCTCTGCAAAGTCTGCTCTCATTTTCGTCTTTATCTGTAGGTAACATTCTTTTTTTTTTTTTTTTTTTTTTGACTGTTGTTAAGATTTTCTTCCGTGTTATTAGGTTTTAGCAGTTTGGTTACAGCGTGCCTTGGTTATTTTTATGTGTGTGCTTGCGGTTCATACGACATCCTAGAGCTATGGGTTTAAGTCTGTTTGTTTGCCTTTTTTTTTTTTTCTAATCAAACGTGGAAATGTCACAGTCTCCGTGCACTTTCTGACAGTTCTGTGTGTCCGAGATTGCTCAGGGTTGCTGCGTAGCTCACGGGGTGTAGACGCCCCTGTGTTTAGTTCAGCGGGGTTTCCTGGTGTGCTCCCAGCTCCTCGACCTCTCCGTGCAGCCCCAGTCTACCTCATCCTGTGTCTTTTCTTCCCAGGCTTTGTGGTGTTCGGCCCTCACAGATTTATTGGGATCTTTTTAATGTCACCTAGCATGCCTCTGCTTAGCTTTCAAACACGTGGAACAGCTGTCCCAGCTGCAGTAACGACCCTGTGCTAACCCCAACCTCCTGCCATTGCCCTACTGAGTGTCCTCCTCCTGGTCCGTGTGCCCTTCGCCGCAGGTGCTGGGGTCTGTCTTCTGTGGGGTCATGACTGCTCTGGGACAGTGAGGGTCCTCAGCCCCCAGTCTGACCAGGCCGGACCTGTCTCAGCCTTGCTCAGCGGGCGTGGAGCTGGCGTCCATCTGGGGAGGTGCCCTGCCCCGGAGCACGAGCTCTGGGTGCTGTAGGCTGGGCGCCTGGCGGCACTGGTGGACTTCAGGGTGGCTGGGGGTAGTCAGTGGCCCCAGGGTAGGGTGGTCCTTACTGAGGGAGAGTTACCTAAATGTCCTTCTGGTTCTGCGCTTAAAACCATTCCATCTGAGAAGAAAAGAAGCCCCAAGACCTTGCAGGTGTGTGGGAGAGACCCAGGGACAAAGCTCGGAGGCGGGTGCCCCTGGTAGAGCCATCTGGAGGAGAGAGCTCCTCCAAGCTAAGGGTTTTGAGACACGCGAAGATTGCCCAGAGGGCTTTGCACTTAATTTGCCCTGTAGGCAAGGAATCCATCCTTAGGCTGACGAGGATGGGGACAGACAAGGCCGCTCGGTTTCTGTTCTGCTTCCACCCTTTCTAATGTTCATTGAACTGAAACACATGGAGTGCACTTGCAGTGTGGGGACTTGGGGCACCTGGCCCAGAGCACCGGCATGTCCCCGAGGAGCCTCTCCCTGCCCAGGCTCTGCAGGGCTGCCCTGGGCATGGCCTCTCTGGGAGACAGTGCGTGGACAAGCGCGTCAGCCCTAGGGGTCTGTGCGGGTGCAGCACATCCCAGCGCATTTTTTTTTTTCCATCCCAGCTCATTCCTGCCGCCTGGGGTGGGTGGTGTCAGGCTCCACTTTGTTTACGGCCAGCGAGCCCTGAGGGGATGGAGGCTGCAGAGGACAGGGCCCTCAGACTCTGCCAGAGACTAGAAATGGCCAGCCGGAGTCTAGGGCGAGGAAGCGTCAGCGCTCTGACCCAGTAACCCGGCTCCATGGGCTCGGCTTGTGCAGCAGCTCACAGGCACTGAAATATTCACTAGCGGACGCTCCAGGGGAGGGGAGGCTAAGTGCTCAGCGAAGGGGGTGGGGACCTGGGGACGGAGGAGGCTGTCACTGCCCACCCATGCCTGCGCCCTTGGGGGCCTGGGCAGACAGGATGGGGCAGCCGTGGGCGTGGCTTCTCCTTTCGTTTATTGCTGCTTGTCCCTGTGTGATAGGTGTTAAGTAATAATTCTTTTAACTGGTATTTCTTGGCTTTCTGGCAAAGCTGAACATTATCTTGTATTTATGTTTATTCTTGTCGTTACTCATTTTAATATCCTTCATACTTGTTTCTCAGCATCGTAATGTTCTATAAACTTAATGTGTAATTATAAATTATATTTTACATGTGCCATGAATATTTTTACAATTTTTTCTTGTTTTCAATGTTCATTTTTATCTATTTATTTGGGAGATACTTTTGCTATAGGGCACCTGTGCTTGCCAGAGAGACAGAAAGCAAGAAATCACCCCCCAGGGGGGATGGCCACCCCACAATCCCTTCTCCTCCATTTTCTTCTCAGAATCTTGGGCACACATGCACACATGCCCGGTATGAATTTAAGCTGCTGGGTCAGGGATTCGAATTGTGGTCGACTACATGCGAGTCCAGTGATGTAGCCATTGTGCCATCTGCTGGGCCATTTATTTATTTATTTATTTATTTATTATTTATTCATTCATTTATTCTTAATTTGACAGAGAGAGACACATAGAGAGAGAGAGAGAGAAAGAGGGGAAGTAAGAAAGCAAGCTACCAGGTCCACGACTCGAACCGTGGTCAGCCATGTGGGAGTATCCAGTGCCTTAACTACCATGCCACCTGCTGGTCCCACCCTTGTTTTTATTTATTTATTTTCTGGAGGTTTTTGCTATAGGGCGCATGCACTCGCCAGAGAGAGAGAGACTGAGAAATAGATGGAAAGTGAGAAATCATCCCCCAGGGGGGAGGGCCACACCTCAATCCCTTCTCCTCCATTCTCCTCTCGGAATTTTGGGCACACACGCAGTCACATGAGCTTAAGCCACCAGGTCCGGGACTTGAACCGCAGTCGACTACATGGGAGTCCAGCGACATAGCTATTACACTAACTGCTGGTCCCCCTTTTATTTTTTAAATTGCCACAGAGTACCTGTGCTCATGGGGTGGGGCACTTCTCCATGGGATGTGGTCACAGCTCAGTCCTTTCTCTGCCATTGCCGCATCCGCTGGGATCTTGGGTGTGCATGCGCACACACACGCGTACATACACACAGACACCCAATGTATTTTTAAGCTGTCAGGGCTGAAAATTGAACTGTGCTGTCAGCCGTGCGGAAACAGCTCCCTTACCGTGGTTACAGGGCCAGCTCCTTAAATATTTATTTTATAGTCTTTTGGAAACATCCATTTAAAGTTTATTCATTTCTTCCTTCTATGAGAGGAGACAGAGCGACACACGCAGTCTGTAGGTCTTCATGCCACCGTCTACCCCACCACCCAGGCCGCAGTCACTCACATACGGGGACCTGTGCTGTGGGCTGGGCCCTCTCATGGCTTCCTCCTCCAGGGCCTCGTGTCCTTGTTGCACCCTGCAGCAGCCACACATCTCTGTGCAGGACTGAATGTGATTTAGAGAGCAGAGGGCCCAGCCTGCGGCCTGGTGACTGAGGCAGCTGGACCCTGCATGGCCATCTGCGTGGTTCGAGTCCTAGACCCAGCAGCCTGGAAAACCCGCTGGGCATGTGCCCTCCCTCCCTCCCTCCCTCTCCCCAGCAAGCACTTGTGCTCAGTGGCAAATTAAAAAAAAAAGAACAGAGAGAAGGAAAGGGCCCCAAGGCCACATCCGTAATGGGTTGTGTTCAGGGCACCACCCGTTTGTCCGTTTCAAAGTTGCACAGCGATGTGCGTTAGGGACTTAGGGACGGAGACCAGGACACAGAGGAGGCTCCTCAGAGCTCTCGGTGCTGTGAAGCCCTTTTCCGTGCGACCGGTGCTGGGCCGAGCTGGACACGCTTCCAGAGTTTCTCCTGGGGGAAGCAGCTGCACCAGTCTCACATGGTCGCCCAGCCGGACACACTTCATTGGCCTCGCCCGTGTCTCTGTCCAGGAGGAGAACATCTGCCTGCACTGGGCAGCCTTCTCAGGCTGCGTGGACATCGCCGAGATCCTGCTGGCCGCCAAGTGTGACCTGCATGCCGTGAATGTCCACGGGGACTCGCCCCTACACATCGCGGCCAGGGAGAACCGCTACGACTGTGTCGCGTGAGTGTGGCTCTGCCCTGGTGCAGACCCTGAGTGAGGCTCGTCTACATGGGGCCTCGCGCCAGGGCAGCCCTCCGCTCCCCGGGCGTCCAAGGGCAGAGTGGTCACGGCTGTTAGCTCCTGGTGCAGCGGCTCCGGCACGGACGCCTCTGGTTCTCAGGTCGACCCTCAAGTGGAGTCTTAGGCCTGAAGTTCCTGTTGGGAGGCCCAGGCTCGGTGGACGGCACGGCAGTCCCAGACGGGACGCGGCGTCGGGCCGGGTCACTGTCACGAGACCCTTCTGTCCCAGCAGGCGGGGAGGGGGTATGCACTTCAGCCAGTGGGAGGCTCAGAAACCGTAGGAGCTGGGGCGGCACCTGTTCCGTTCCCACGAGTGGGCACACGCCTGCATGTTCGAGCCTCGGCACCAGCTCCAGGGCTCAGCGTGTGCAAGGCTGTGCCCACCTGGACTCAGTGGCTGTGCCAGACCCCCAGGCTGCTCACCTGGAAGACCCTCTCACGGCCCCATCAGCTTTGAGGGCAGATTTGAATGAAAAGACCCTGGAAAGCGCAGACCCTTCCCCAGCTTGTTACACACTTCTCTAAGAAACCAGGCGGGGCTTCGGCAGTGCGTGTGCGTGTGCGAGGGTGTCCCAGGTCCGAGCCCTTCCTTTAGGCCCACACGGCCCAGACCCGTCACCTGGCCTCAGAGTGTTCAGGACGAGCGGCCGTTCTTAGTGACCGCAGTTACAAACCTCCTCTGCATCATTTAAATTCAGAGTTGAATGTTTTGTTGGCTTACATCTTTCCTTTTAGCCTCTTTCTTTCTCGGGATTCAGATGTCACCTTAAAGAATAAGGAAGGGGAGACGCCCCTGCAGTGCGCGAGCCTCAACTCCCAGGTGTGGAGCGCCCTGCAGGTGAGCAAGGCGCTGCGGGACGCGGCCCCTGACAGGCCCTCCCCCGTGGAGAAGACGATGAGCAGGTGAGGGCCAGGGCCCGGGGCTGGCCAGTCGTCGGCCCCACGTGAGCTGCGGCCTGGGAAGCACTGGCCCTGTGAGAGCTGACATCCCCGCCCTCGGCAGGGACATCGCCCGCGGCTATGAGCGAATCCCCATCCCCTGTGTGAATGGAGTGGACGCTGAGCCATGCCCCAGCAACTACAAGTACGTCTCCCAGAACTGTGTGACCTCCCCGATGAGCATCGACAGGAACATCACTCACCTGCAGGTGAGCGGGGTGGAGGGGCTGCTCAGGCCAGAGCAGGGCAGGGGTCAGCCCGCAGCTGGCTCCCAGCTCAGCGCTCCAGGAGCCAGGGGTCTGGGGAGGGTCTCCCATGTTCCTCTGGCCGTCTTTGCCTCTCCCAGAGGGGCAAGGACGCGAGTAAAGGCCCTCCCAGAAAGAGGCTCCCTGGGCCCAGCCGTGCAGTGCCACTGTGGGGGACACTGCACTTCGCAGGCCAGATGGTGCGGCGGGGGCTGGTTCCGTTCTTGTCTCCAGTGGTCAGGCATAGGGCATGTGCCCATAGTCCTAGTGACTCGGAAGGTCAGGCCAGGAGGAACGCAGCTCAGTCACTGTCTTAGAAGAAAGGAACGTGAGAGGGCAGACACAGTCCTGGGCCCTCCCATTGCTGGGCAGAGGGCCCTGGCACAGTCTTGGCCTTGGGAATCTCCTCCTGAGACTCCCCCTGCAGGGCTTGTGGGGCGGCCTGGGTCCCAGCCCCACCATTGCCTCCCAGGCCGCCCTCCCAGTCCCACAGGGCCCCACACCCACCACAGCCTATCCCCCCGTTTCCCAGCTCCCAGCACACCACCTGAAGTGCCAGGGCAACTCATCCTCAGGGCTGCCCTCGGACCGCACGCCTGTCTCTTCGCCCTCCTACCCGCCTTCCCATCGCGTGGTCCTGTTCAGGGCCTGCCCACACCAGCTCTGCCATCCCAGCTCTGACCTCCACCGTGTCCTCGGGCCCCTCCCTCAGGCACTCAGCCTGTCTAGGACCTGTGCTCTCCCCCTCCCTGAGACCTCACGCGCCCTTGATCCGATCAGAAGGAAGCACTGACGGGGACATTTACTTATTTATTTAAGTCAGTTTTGTTTGTTTTTAGAGGTTTTTGCCTGAGGGCGTGTGCACTCTCCGAAAAGAGAGGCAGAGACAGAGACGGAGAGGAAGAAATCACCCCCTGGGGGCATGGCCACACCGCAGCCCTTTCTCCATTCTCCTGGAATCTTGGGCACACACACACATGCGCCCGACATGATTTTCAAGTTGCTGGGTCCAGGACTCCAGCTGCAGTCGGCCATATGGTGGCCCAGTCACATAGCTGCAAGGCCACCCACTGTTGTTTGTTGATAGTGAGAGAAGAGGGGGCAGGTCCATTCCCCATGGTCTCGCCGTGCAGTCTCTGCTCTTGCCCTGGCCAGCTGGGACTGGGCGCTGCAGGGCTGGCATGCCAGGGTGGCCTGGACCTGCCGGGCCTTCCCTGCGGCCCAGCTCAGGCAGCAGCCCCACCCCTTGCTCCCGGACTCTGAGTATCTTAGAGCGTCCACGGTGACAGCGACAGGGAGGGACACGGAGTGCCCCGTCTCCTCCCCTGATGGCGCCGTGCGGCCTCTCCATAGTATTGCGTGTGTGTCGACGACTGCTCCTCCAGCAACTGCCTGTGCGGCCAGCTCAGCATGCGCTGCTGGTACGGCAAGGTTAGTGTGGCCCCGCCAGGGGATCCCCACGCCGCTGCTCTGGCCCAGAGACGTGGGAACGGGTGGGAGGGCTGCAGGGTGTGAGGGTGAGCGGGATGAGGCAGGGGGGCTACCCAGGCAGGCCGGGAAGGTGGGCGGCCGGAGGCGGGGTCCCTCCTAGGGAAGTGCCGAGGGGACAGGGCCGAGGGCCAGGCTCTGGAGTGCCGATAGCCACAGTCGGGGCTGGGAGTCCCTGGGCTGCGCGGGCACCTCGTGTGAGGTGTCCCAGCCGAGTCACTACTGTAGAGGGACCAGACGTCTGTGTCAGTGAGAGGCCACGCCTGAGCTCCGTGCTGGGGGTGCTCGGCGTCGGTGGGCCCCAACACACTTGTGCCCTCAGGACGGCCGCCTCCTGCCGGAGTTCAACATGGCGGAGCCCCCCCTGATCTTTGAGTGCAACCACGCCTGCGCCTGCTGGAGGAACTGCCGCAACCGCGTCGTGCAGAACGGGCTCAGGTGAGCTGTGCCTCCAGGGCGTGCCATGGGGTGCAGGTAGCTAGGAGCTGCCCCGTGGGCTAGGGCAGGGCATCAGGGCGCATGCATGCGTGTTGGCCTGCCGGTGTCAGGTGTGCTGCGAAGGGCCGAGGCCGTGCTTCTGAGGCCGGGGCAGCACTTGGCCAGATCCACGTGCAGCTTTGTCGATGGGCTGGCTGTGCCTGTTGGCTGTGCCCCAGACTGCATCCTCACATTCTGTGCTTGCCCAGCCACTGGCTGCACAGTGGTGCCAGCCCTGCAGCTGTGTGGCTCCTGCCCCAAGGTGCTCAGGCTCCGACCAAGGAAGGCTCAGCCGGTGCTCAGAGGCCTCCCAGGGCCAGGCTGCCCTGCACCCCAGGTTCTGGTCATGAACCTGCCCCCTGAGAGGGAAAGCCCGGAGCTCTGTGGAGTCAGCACTGTGTGCTCGCATGTCCGCTGTGTGCTGGCCCCTGCACCCTGGTGCTTTACAGTGGTGACCGTGCCCCGTGCCGGGCAGGGTGGAGTGCTGGTGCCAGGCCGTGCTCCTGACTGTGTGTGTCAGGAATCCCAGGGAATGGCAGACCCTCTGTGGATAGACGGACGTGACAGGCAGATGCGGCTGAGGGCTCTCCCTTTGCTGGCTGGCATCTGGCAGGAGGGCTTGCTAGTTTGAGTTCCTTTGTCCTCATGGAGCCTTGTGGGCAAGCCCATGGCCCCCGTGTCACCATGAGGAGGCTGAGGCACAGCGAGGCAGTGGCTGCGTCACAGGCTGGCATGTCCACACGTGGCCAGTGCAGCTGGCTTTCGAGGCAGCCTCCAGACTGCTGTCCCTGCGCAGCCCCTCCAAGTCGAAGTGAGCGTCTCTCCGTTCTCTCGTTCTCTCGTGTGCTTCATTTAATGCCGCAACTCGAGGGGTTGTGGTGGCTGGGGGCGTGGCTGGGGGCTGTGTCTGCCTCACCCCCACTGTCTTTCAGGGCCAGGCTGCAGCTCTATCGGACACGGGACATGGGCTGGGGCGTGCGGTCCCTACAGGACATTCCTCTGGGAACTTTTGTCTGCGAGTGAGTGAGTCCCTGTCACCCAGGTCTGCCAACCACCTGCCTGTTTCTGGCGCCGGTGCCCGTGTGCATCTGCTTTGCCAGAGGCCCTCTGGGGAGGGGCCGAGAGCACAGAGGCCCAGGCCGTGGAGCCGCGGCCCTGCAGCTCCGTGGGGGCAGCTCACACCCTTGTCGGGGCTCTCCCCGCCGATCCGGGTGGTGCCTGTTACGCGCTCTCCCACGGAGCACAGTTAGGGTGTCATCCAGCGTGCTTACTTTATGCCAGCGTGGGTCATCGTGGACTCTGCCTCTGTCCTGCTAAGGCAGAGGTTTCTGTCCACCGTCATCATCTGGAACCTCCAGGTTAAACCCTGGCTCTGTCACTTAGGGCCACAGAGATGGCAGGCTTGTCTCGGGTGACGCCTGCTGTGTCCCCTCTGCAGATACGTGGGGGAACTGATCTCCGACTCCGAGGCTGACGTTCGAGAAGAAGATTCTTACCTCTTCGACCTCGACAACAAGGTAGCGTATCCTTGGCCTCGAGAGCTCATGCGAGTGGTGAGACGGGGACTCCTGGCCGGCTCTGTCCAGAAGGGTGCTCTTACCGCCGACATGCTGGCCCGCCTGCATGTGCCGCCGGTGCCCACGGGCTCTCACTGAGTCCCACCTTTTTGGTGCCGACTTTGATTCTGCCCAGGGCATGGGGTGTCCTCAGGTGGGGCCTGCCCTAGGCGGTCTCACCTCGTGCGAGAACATGGCCTTGGGACCACAGTGTTGATCTTCGCCACCCAGTGGGCTGGGGCTGCCGAGAGGCCAGAGGAGGCTCTGTTCCTAGTGTCCCAAGGCACCGGAGGGGTGGCGCACAAATGCTGGTGGGTGTGCCCCTCCCGTCTCCACCTACGACACCCAGCCGTCTGGGAGAGCAGAGGTTTAGGCTTGGTCTACTCCAGGATCCTGGTTCCCAAAGAGATGCCCTCAGTCCTCATTGCCCATCCCCTTAGCCTGGTGTCCGTTACTGCACCTGATTTCCTAGATCACGTCTCGAACTTGCAGTCACAGCTAGCGTGTGTGGAGGTGCGACTTCCTGATCTCTAGCTGCAGGGTAGCTGTCACTCTGCGTGACGCTGGAGGGGAGGGCACTGCTCAGCAGCGGGCCTTCAGAGTGCCAGTGGCTGTCGGGTGGTCTGTGCTGCCCCAGAGCGAGGCAGGTTCTGCACGGCTGCAGTGCCGCGGGCTACACTGCCCTTCGGTGCTTTCACTGCGGTTCACCTGCCGGTCTCCGTCCACACGCTTGGCGGGTTTCTGTGAGGTCCTAGTTAAGTGCTTTTGAACCCAAGCATCTCCCAAAGCGGCTGTTCCTTCATACGGACCCACACTTAGGCCCGTAGCCTTTACTGTGCGGTGGCAGTGCCATGTCACAGCGGCACAGAAGGGTAGCTTCTGCCCTAGCCATTCACGCACACCTGTCCCCAGTCGCCGACTGCCGCCATTGCTCTGGTTCACACAGTCCCGCTTTTGAGCTCTTTAGATCTTCTTGCTGTCTTTGTAAGGTTTTTTGTGTTTCTTTGTTTGTTTGTTTTTATAGAGAGATTTTTGCTATAGGGTGCGTGTGCTTGCTGAAGAGACAAGGAGAGAGAAAGTGAGAACCCCAGTGGAGATGGCCACACCTCGATTCCTTCTCCTCCATTTTCCTCTTGCAATTTCGGGCATGTACACACACGCACACGGCTCCAGCATGAGTTTCAGAAGCCTCGGTCTGGGACTCAAAACCGCAGTTGGCTGTGTGGGAGGCCAGACACTAAGCCACATGCTGGTCCCAAGTGTCTGTAAGGTTTGAAATCATCTTGAGCTGGGATCGCTCTGAACCTGTGAACATGACTAGGGCAAGTCGGGGTCTTCAGCCGCAGTGTCTGCTGGTCGCGGAGCGGACAGATGTGCCCTCGCTGAAGTCTTCTTTTGCTAACACCAGTAATTCACATGACTTTCTGTGTTTAATAATCTTGTTTAGCTTCTGTTTTTTTTTTTTTTAAAGAATTATTTTATTGGGACCAGCAGTTAGCGTAATGGCTATGTTGCTGGAC